TATCTCGGTGACCTGGGCTGCTGCTGCTGCCAGCACGTCTGAAGTCAGTCGGTGACGTCACAGAATGCACCGTTGTGCAAGTGGAACACGAGAGCGAGAAACTGGAGAGCCTGGGTTGTTAGCCGTGATGTTGAGCGCGGGTTCGCCTGCCCGGAGCGGCAATCAAGATGAGACCGAATACCGGTGAATGTCTTAGTGGACTTTTGCTGACGTCAGATTTAAGTCATGAAAGGTTTTCCCAGAGGAAATGTTCCACTGTCACGGTCACCTTTTTCCAACTTTTCCAATTGATTATCTATGGACATGTGCACTGGTCTCAGATCATTTATCGTTCATGACTGCATTAAATGTTCCCATAGTTTATGAATCCAGAAATCTAATATTATATATACAAATATTATACTGTAATGGTGTAATTCAGAGAGGCTCCCTGTGTGGCCACAGCTTCGTTCCTACTCAGTGACGCTTCATGGATTCCACACGCAGCCAAATGCAGATCGCACAAAAAGCACCTTTTACATTAATATCAACCGTCAGACTGTCCTAAAATGCTTTATGCCTTATTATCATCCCGATTTGGTTTGCTTTTAATGCTCTCTGTCGAAGGACCGCCTCGTTTTTCCACAGCAAACAATGAAAAGTGTCCCTGCAAGTTCGGGCCGGTGCCAAGACGCCAAGAAAAATCCTCACCGTGTTGCCGTTTACTCACATTTACAACACTTAAATCAATTTGCGTTCTCTTTACTGCAGATACTTTGTGTGCACGAGAGCCATGTTGTGCGAGCTGTTCTATTTGCATGCGTGTGCTTTCATGTGTGTGAATGTGTTTGTGGGCCACAGTGGGCTCCGGGCGAGGTTACATCTTGCAGCAATTAAGCCTCAAGCGTCTCTTACGCCCCTCCATTGGTCTACTGCAGGGTCTTGTTTCAGGGCCAGTCTGCATCAGACAAACCAAGAACAGTCGGTGGCTCCATGGTGGCTCCATGGTGGCAAACAGCACATCGGTTAATTGGCCGACACCAGAATGTGGTCGTACTGGATGGAATGTAAGCGCGTTTACAATGTTGACGAACCGTTGGGATGAGCAGCCGAAGGACGAGATGAAAAGGAGGAGGAGGAGGAGGATGGAAAGCGAAAGAAGCAGTGGAGGGGTGGAGAGGTAATGGGGGAGGCTGTAATGTGTCAACATTTGCTGAAAAATGGTTACCAGAAAGCTGAATTTGGAAATGTGTCAAACCTCTTTTATTTGTCAGGTTTGTTCTTCGTCTTCCACAGTGTTCCTTCCTGTCAAACCTCCCATAAAAATACATATGTAAGCACACAATGTTCTGCCAAGGACAAGTGATACTTAAAAGTTCCCTGATGACAAGATGACTGCAAACACGCGATTACTGACATACCAAACACCCCCCCCCCCCTCATGTTTATGGGAGCCTGGATACCAAAAGCCAAACGTCCCCAGCATTGCTGAATGTCACATCATCGTTATTTTAAACCGTAGTTCATCACATTATCAACAAACAAACATTTTCTAGTAGCTCTAGACGCACATTAATATTTATGTAAACATATGGTGTATGGAAAAGTCCCGTGGCTGTGCGGTGGCTTAGACGCACACATGAAGAGATTCTAGTGGAATATTGTTTTATAAACTGCCAGTGTTTCGCTAAATTGAAGCACGTTTCGTATTCGACATCTTTTGGTAAATTGATGTGAGGGATTATTGATCTGCAGGTTCTTTGCAGACTCAGTGATTGTGCATGAACTTCATTGCACGTCCAAAAGGTATCAGGATACCTGAAGATTTTGCACTTTTGTGATTCTCAGGGGAAAAAAAAGCCTCAGGAAGAAAAATGTGGCCCCCAAGGATCCTGTCATCATGGCCCCAAAATCAGCGCCTGACCTCACAATCTTGTAGAAAGCAGCATATTGTTTGCCTCCACAACACTTAACATTAAAACAAATATCCAACATTCCCATCAGACTTGTAGATGGGACCCGAGTGCTGAAAGAGAGTAGAATAATCTGTTTACATTGTCCAGGATATAGCGCGTGTGCTCATTGACGTATCGTGCACACTTACTCATAATTAATCCGCCGTGCCGCCGATGAGTCGCTGTGACTCCCTCGTGGGTGGGGAATGCAAACCACAGTCGAGGTGATGCTCCTCAGCAACCTGTTTAACACGACTTCCTTTACGCACAGTTTGATATCTCTCTGCGAGGCATCGCTGATCAGAGGTCAGCTGCAGCCCTGTCGGCTTTGAAGGCCTCACATGTAGCTGCAGCAGCTGGTTGTTCGTCAAGTCCGTCTCACAAATTGTGACTCATTAGCGTGTGCGCATGAATAACTACTTGGAAATACTTGTTGTAGAGGCAGCGGAAACAACACGTACTGTTGCGAGTAGCAGCACTTGAGCGTGAAAACACACGCCGGCTTGCTGAAGTCAAGCGTTCGCCCTGTGACGCACATTAGTGAGAAGCCGTTCAACAATATTTACTAAGCACACAAACCTTGATGAGTAGGAAATGCGCTTTATAAACAAATTGTTAGCAAAGACACAGATAGAAATGTTAAAAATGTCGTAAAAGTGGCAACTTGGCAGCTGGAACTGCACTACTTTATTGCTCCTGTGCTTAATCACTAAGTGAGTCATGGCGGTCGAAACTCGCGTCTTCATCAGCAACATCCTCTTCCCCTCGTCATCCGGCTCCTCTCACGCTTCTAGCCTCTCGTACAGGTTCATACGCCACTTCAGAGGACTCCCTTAGTGGCGGATTAGTCATACTTTCAGTGATTCACTATACACACTTGTCTCTCTCTCTCTCTCCTGATCTGCTGCTCTTGCCTCGCCATGTTTTTTCTTGGCCAGTTTCTTCTCATTTCTCCCCTGAATGGACTCCTTCAGACAGTCTCCCTCTCGTAGGCTTTGACCTTCTGTTAGAACTTCTGAACATTCATGACACTGAATTGCCACTAAATCAATTAACTTCATTCATTTCTTTTCTTTATCCTTTTTCGACATTTATTTTATTTTATTTGTAAAATATTTGTATGGATAAAAGTTCTCATTTTCCCTCAATTTGTTCATGAAATTGCGTGTTTTGTCTGACCAACTGTCCAAAACACAATTATATTCAATTTACTACAGTAGCTAAATGTTGTTTTGCATTTATGCTCGAAAAAAATATTTAAACCATGAATATATTACCAAAGCTTTAGACAATTAATGCTGTCCTTTTAATAATGGATAGATTGGCCTATTTGTTTTAGTTTTATATATTTTGGATTAAGCTGATAAAGAACAAATGAGTCATTTATTCAACTCAAATTAATAAAATTAAATATTTTTCATAGTAAGCCATCATCACAAGCTTCATTAGCCAAGCAGAGCGATTGGGATGCTCGATAAACACAGGATCATGATCACAGCACTAGATCTCTGACCCCTGAGGGCGGAACGTGTGGGGAAACCAGGACTGACAGGAAGTTGTTGTGTAAAGGCAGAGGTGTGTGTGTAGTTTCTTGCGTGCATATACGCGTATGTGTGTGTTTGCCCAGCGGGCAGGAAACAAAGTGGTTGTGCCACCGGTTAGAGGAAACAGAACGGTAGATAAATGACCCAGTCGGGCTGGCAGGACTTCTGAGAGCAAAAGCTGAGTAGACATTTAGGGAGGATGGAGTGTTGACATGGACAATGTCGTTCACAACCCAACAGGAAGATGAAAAATCAGTGTAAATGTGTTTTTTATTCACCCAGTATTGGAAACTCAAAGTGTGTATTTCTTACTGATTCTGGAGGAGGTCAGAGGGAATATTTGTTTGGAGAACAAGTGCGGGGTCTTCATATTGGATACCATTGTATGTAAAATGTATATAGGAATGGATTAGCGTAAACGATAAATAAAACGCCTTAAAAGTATTGGTCCACTTGCAGCCACCAGAACTAATTCAAATGCTTTCTTTCCATTAATCCCACATGTTGCTGTAACTCTAATGGAGGGAACAAAAAATACTTTGTTGGTATTCGATGAAGGTGGTGATCCACTCTAATTGGTTTGTCTTATCTAATGGGATTTAAATCAGTTAAAATGATAACTCTATTCAGATGTTCCAATTTATGATCATTCATGTCTTAGATTTTATTTGTATTGATTTACAGTGAGCTCTGCTGAAGGGAGCCTGTTGTCTAAGCTTTTCATTGGCAACACGTCTCTAATATTGCGGCGCATAAAGATCCGCTTCTGTGTGAGGCTGCCATCTGGTGGCCATAAATCACCTGTTCAGTTGCACTTACACCAACACAGATAAATTGCATCAAATTTTTATTGAGTAACAGCTCCTGTTTTCGTAAGCAAGCATTTAATATCCTGTAAACAATAACCTGTATCTCTTTGCAAAGAAGCAAAAGGTTGTTATTGGTTGTTGCAGGGGGAATATTGAAACATTCAGAAATTCCACCTCTGGATGGCTCAAAAAGAGCTAAATGCAGGTCGGATTGGCGTAGTCAAAACTGCAAACAAGCTGAGATAATTTTGCAGGACTTTAAACGGGCGCTTCATGCACAAAAACCCTCCGTGGGGGAGGAATTAAAGTAATTCTCCAAAGAAGCATTCGCCAAAATTCCTCCACAGCCACCTAAAAGACTGACGTTCAGTTATTGGAAGAGTTTGGTTGCAGCTGTTGCTGCTTAAGATGTTAAGGGGGGGAATTATTACATTGGGTGAGATAAAGTGTTGCTATTTTTCCTTTATTAATTGAAAAAAGTAATTTAAAATGTGTTCAGGTTGTCTTAGTCTTATATTTAATGTTTAGAAGTATAGGAGGAGTGTGTGCAGATATTCTGTGGCAGACGTATTGGTGCTGGATCGCTGTACTTGTGTGCATTCACACGATGAAAAACAAAGTTTTCATTTGAAAAGGACCTTTCTTAGAAATTAGTTAATTTTCACAATTTTTGGGAATCAAGCGATGGGGAAACACAGACAGACACACACTGGTACAGGTTCTTGAAAATGTATTATTGTGTGCAACAAAGCAGTCGGCAAACAGGTATTCTTCCACTTCAGTTTAAAAAACAACCAACAAAACAGTTGTTGCTTTTCTTTTCCCTTTCTTGTTACAAAACATTTCAGTCAAGGCCGAGAAAGAAAGAGCCAAGTTTTTATGATATCCTACAAACTATGAAAAGAAGCAAAAGCTCTACTCAGGCGTAAATCATCTCCAGTAAAAAAGGTTCCCGAGTGAGGAAACCTGGCCGGGAGTTTCAGACAGTCATCTACGAACTATTTTCGTTAGTGTTGGTTGTGTTAGTCTGAAACATTGTCCAGAAGAACAACGCTGTCCAAGTACAGTACCAAGGCGAAGGAGTGCGATGACACAACGGTGCAGAAGACACGTTCAGAGAAATGCACAGTCTGACAAATGTAAGAACGGGAAAACATTCCTGGTAAACGTTAATACATTAATAAAGAAGCCTGGTGAAATTGGCATCTATGACATTGAGAATTGCTGATGTTCATGGTTCCAGGCACAGGACTCGAACATCTGCTTTCAGCACGTTGCATGCTTTTCAAGTAAGGAATAGAACAAAAGATTCAGAGTGTAAAATACGACGAGAGAACTCTTTCAGTAAAAGTAACTAATGGCAAAATATGCCTGTACAGTGAAACGCTTGTAACAACTGAAATGTTTTTCTGATTACCGTTGACGATCATATTCAACCCCCTTAGATGTAGAATATGACAGTAATTCGGGTGTCACTAGACAAAATAGTGTGTTATACTCAAGGGAAATGATTTTCTTTTACACAAAAAAAGGTGATTGACAATACAGCTATCAAATCTGCAATTAAATACGGTATTTTAGAAAATATGGCATGTAGTACAATTCAGTAAAGTACAGTTTTAGCAATTTTGTGCTTACACAGAAATACCAATACAAACAGTATCATACTTTTTCTTCATAGAAGTGCGTCCAAAAAAAAAATCAGTTTGTGATTGTTAGGCTTGTATATTCGACTAAGTCACATGCATTGAGAGGGTACTAATAATTTACACTGCATGAGGAAAATGTTGACGACCATGAAAACTTTAAACAAGTAAAATATTACTAACACTGTTGTATCATAAAACGGATACTTCCAACAGTAGTTGGTGAGTATTTTATTCCTCGAAGCGCACGTTGTAACAGAAACAAACCACATGAAAGCCGCTTTAGTACGCACATACATGCGTGTTTGTGTCTGAGTGCGCAGGCTTGCATTGCCGTGCTTATGCAACTGCATGTGACCTCAGGTCACTGCACATTGACAGTGTAGTGTTAACATGCGCTTACTGGGTTCAAACATTTGGCTGGAACCACTCGGTTCTCTTCTATTTCAAAGGTCGACTTACTGATGTACAGTATCTTCGTGCCGGGCCGGGCGTTTCACAAAAGCATTGTTCATCATAAGATTCTCGATATTACTCGGTCGAAATTACACTATTGAAGGCAGCGAACTCTGTTGTAAACCTATTCCCCGGCTGCAAATACTCAAGGTTCATCCAGAGGCACCGCGTGTTGTCCTGCGATCAGCACGCGTAACGAGTGCAGGACACTCCAGGCCCGGTGCGTCTTAGCAGGCCTCCTTGGCCTGGCTCGGCATCTTGCACATCATCAGGATCTGCTTCAAGGCTTTCTGGACATCCTCGTCCATCTGACCCTGAAAGCACAGAACGCCGCGTTCAGTGAACTAACCAAAACAATACAACATTACTCAAACCCAAAATGACTGAAGGGGTTTTACAGAGCGCCCAAATACAAAGAAAAAAAAAAACACAGGTTTCGGTGGAACTACTTTCTGTCACATATGCTGTAAAACGTCTCTCTTGTGAGTGCAGAGACTATTAGGATGAAGGCAGACATTTTATTTCAAACCGCCGGCTAATTAAACCAAAACTAGGTCCTTGCCTGGATACCAAAACTGGTGAGTGAGAAAGAATACATGTGTTCATCCTGAGGTGATCCGTGTGGCTGCACTGTGATATAGAATTTTTTTAGAATTGGGAGTACAAAAATTCACTAGCAAGCTTTGGGTAAAAACTGATTTACCTGGACAGCGTAGAGGAGGTGCATCCTGTAGACTGACACAATCTCATGGTGCTGCTTCTTTGACTCCTGGGAAGAAAAGCATCAGGTGAATCCACATTTCACAATTGAGACCGGTAATCCTTGCGTGTTCCATCCAAACATCTGCATCAGATCTTACAGCCAGCTGGTACTGTAGTTGTTTGATCTGCTGCTGCAACGTCTCCAGCTGCTGGTTTTGCTGCAGTCTCTTGGAAGGAGGACCGGAGCTGTAGGAGAGCTGCGATAAGCTGTTTAGGGCGTCTTTCAGCTTCGCCACCTCCCGTGACAGGTCATCTATCTGATGGGGAAAACGGAAAAACATGCAATTGAAGAAAAGGGTTAAACAAGACAAATGTAGGTTAACAGATCAGCACTCACCCTCTTGTTTTTTTCCCTCTCTGAGGCAACGTGGTTCTCCACCAGCTGCTTGAGTTGGCACACGGCGTCCTGGGACTCGGCCAGCCTGGTGGTCAGCGTCTGGTGTTCCTTCTCCGTCGACATCACCTGCTCCTGCAGAGCCTCCCACTCTGCGCGGTTCTCCCGTGCCTGAAGGACACATACGAGGACGGATGGGTGCGTTTTAAGAAATACGTGAACGTGACGCGGAAGAACAATATTCGGACACTGTTTAAATGTTTTTCTTCCCACCTTCTGCCATGCGTCAGCAGCCTCCAGAGCCATCTCGTCCTGCTTTCTGAGGGCCCCCTGGAGGAGCTGCGTCAGGTGGTTCACCTCGCCCCGCAGCTGCTCCTGAGCGTTCTCGTGGTCGGCGCGGGAGACTGAGTCATCTGGGGTAACGTCTTTCTCTGCCGTCAGCCTTTTGCGAAATAGACACACGCGAAAGACGCGGGGAACTTCATCACAACAGCAGGAGACGCGTTTAGCCCGCAAACACTGGACCGTAAACTAGTGAGAGTAAAAACTGAAATGTGTTGGTATGAAGCATTAAATGCAAATAGAATTACTTTGAAATTGCGTTAAAAGTACATTTACTTTAATTTTTCCACTGCTCTTATTCCATTTCATACGCTCCACCTCTGCCTCATTATCAAGCTGTGCTCCAAGCTGGAAAAAATATCTATCAACCACTTGGGCTGCAGGTTTTCTTCACCTGTTCTGAAGAGCCTCCACCTGCAAGGTCTTCAGGCGTAGCTGCTCTTTCAGTGTCTCCGACTGGCTTTCCAGCTCTTTGATGGCACTTCCCAGGGACGACATCACCTGCGCGTGGTCGGAGAGGGCGACGGAGCTCTGCGCCTGAGCTTCGGCCTCCTGCTTCAGCAGGCAGATCTCCTCCTGAGCAGCCGCGTGCTTCTCCTCCGCCTCAGCTAGCAGCGCCTGCAGCTCCTCCGCCTTGCTGTGCAGCACCTGGACCTGCTGGTGTTCTGCGGAGGGGGAACCGGAGGCGGCGCTGCTCTCCGCCAGCTGTTTCTGCGCAGCGCCTAGCTGGCTTTTGGTTTCGCTGAAGGAGTGCGAGAGTTCCAGCAGGCGGCGCTGCAGCCCGGCAATTACCTCATTTAGCTCCGCCTTCATTTCTTCAAAGTCTTTGGCTGCTGCTTCAACCGGCACTGTGCCCCTCAGAGCCTCCTACACAACAAGAGGATGCTATTGATCTCAAAAAGTAGAATACACTTGAATTGAAAGATACAACTATATCTTAAAGCAACATAATCTGGGCCTTCTTCTACATTCAAAAAGCCAAATCAGCGTTGGAGAGTTCTGACTTTCAGAAGAAATCCCAAATATCCATAAATGGACTTTGAGGATTTCCCCTTTTTAGTTGTACAGACGTGAGAGAGAAAAAGAGGCCCATATTCACCTGGAGCATTCTAATCTCCTCTTGTGCCTCCGTGTACAGCCCCTCAATCTGCGCCGTCCTCTGCTCTTTCTCCTTTAAACTCCGTCTCTCCTCCTCCACCCGCCTCAGGGCCTCCTCCAGCAGGCCGATGCGTTGGGCCGCGTCCTCCTGCTCGGATCCCGACTGGACGAGCAGGGCCCTCAGCTGTCTCACTTCGTGTTCAAGCGCGGATGATGCGCGTCTCTGCAGCTCCCGCTCCTCCACTGGCTCACCTCCTCCCCTTTCCACCTGTTCCCTCAAATCCTCCACCTCCTCCACGGCTTGGTGGTACCTCTCCTGAGTGTCAGTCAGCTTTGCCTGAAGCTCCGCGAGACTCTCCATCAACTCCTCCTCCCTCCCTTTCTCCGTCACGCCGCCCTCCTCCTCCTCTTCCCGCTCGGGCTTCAGCTGCGCGTGAAGCGAGCGGTTTTCCTTCCTGGTTTCTAGCAGCTTCACTTGAACGCTCTCCAGCGCCTGTCTCAGCAGTCTGATCTCCTCTCTGCTGACGGCCGCTCTCCCGCCTTCGCTCTCTTCTTCCTCCCCTCCGACTGGGACGTCTTCCCGTTCCCCCCGTGGCAGAGGTTCAAACTCATCCTGGGTGGAGTGGAAGGAGGAGTTGGAGGCCATGCTGTTCGGACGGCTGTTGTCCTTCTGGTCGTCGCTTGCCTGGAGGGATGGATGTCTCTGTGGTGGAGGATGGAAAATGTTGAGATCTCACTGATAAAAGCACAGCACGAGCTGAAGTGTGTTGTCTGTAATTGCATGGAGGAACCAAGGACAAGAAGAATCTGCTAATTCTCAAGATCTCTACTCAAATGAGGGATTTAAATGATTTATAGAAAAGTAAAGTTGTTAAAGAGTTGCTGAGTCATTTTCTACTCTTTACATATTTTATAATCATTGACACAGTAATAGAAAGTAAGTGAACCTTAAAAGAAGAACACAGGGGCCTTCGTGACAGACAGATGACATTCAATTTGATTCTACACACCAAGTTTAAGGATATTTTCATTCATCAATCAATTATTGATTGACAGACAATTAGTCTAACTATTAAGCTCAAACTGAATGGTAATTTGTCGTAAATGATGGTGAAAGAAAGTGGCTTTGGGTTCTGGACCGACGGCTGAATAAACCTTTTTGGGTTGTGGGAGATTTGAACTTTTTCCACTATTTTCTGACATTTTATAGGCGATTAATTAAGTTTAAAAAGTCTTGTGAGCTAAAGTTATTCTCCTATAGTGTCCTAGTCTTACCTTGAATGAGCTCATTCAGTGGTTTATTGTTAACTCATGAGCGCGGCTGAATGAGTTACATACCTTAAGTTTGCTTGCAAGTTGCTGATTCTCCAAAGTTAGAGCAGTAATCTTGGATTGCAGAGCACGAACCAGAGCGGCAGATGCCGTAAAACTGTGTTCGACCTGTCAACACGTACACACACACACACACACACACACACATTCAGAGGCACACAAGAGACAGAAAAGCAACGTTAGGGACCACTAGCTACCTACTGAAAAACAAAAACAAGTTTTGACACGTCTGAAGCTCAGGTTAGACCTCCTTCAAGAATGCCCAAGGTGAAAAGGTTCCGCAGCACACGGCGGTCTGTTGTCGGGTTTAGTATTACACTCACAAAAGCAATGTTGATTCAAGACTTTAGCAACCAGAAAGACCTTTGGAAGAAAATAGCTGAGCATGCAGCAAAATAGCCACCAAGTAAAACTACATTTTGGCTGCATTGGGTAGAAGATTCATCCACAATGTTTATTCACCGGTAATTAAATTCAATGCAGGAGTCCTTCTTTCCAAACTAAAAAAGAAATATTTTACTTGTCGTCTGTTAGCGTCAAAAGATCTGTGTTCAAATCTGCTCATCTGTGATGTAGATGTAGTCACCCTGGTTTCCGGCTGTGGACCCGTCTGCTCCACCGACTGCTTCAGGTCCTCGATTGTCTCCAGCAACATGTTCCTCTCCTCGTGGAGCTTTTCAACCTCCTCTCTCAGCGTCGTTCCCTTCACCGCATCCTCCTTCGAAATGAGGAAAAAAGGAGGAGTGGCGAGGAAGAGGAGTGGGAGGAGAGAAAAGAAAAAAGATGGTCAGGAAGAGAGCGTGAAGGTGAGAGACGGAGGAGGAGGGGAAACCGGGAGAAAGGGAGAGTTTTGCTTATTGGCTCAGGAGATTCAACTGGAATATAAATCACACGATTATTATCCACAAAATGTTTGCTGAAATCTAAAAATGTTGCATATTTGTCTACATGTTTTCAATTCATATTTACAGCTGAGGACTAATTGCACAATGCAGAGTTTAATTTAGGGTTCAGTTGTTGTCGGATTCTCTTGTCTAGATTTTCAACCCACTTTATAATCCAACATACCGTTTTGTGTATTGGAGCCTTTTTGAATGATTTTCTTTTAAAACAACTTCAATGAAATTAAGGCTACAAGATAAAAAATGTGTATTGCTTCCATGATATTCTGTGAGACGCCGTATTCCTATTTTATCACTGATACCCGGTTCACCGGCATCAGCTGCAAGTTTGGGACTTGAATAATTATACGAAATAATTGTATTTCTGTCAAATCAGACTCTTAAGAGCTGAAAGAATCTTTTGCTTCCGGAATAGTCTACCGTGTTTTTATTGGAGGTTATTGTATGAGTTTAGTTGTTTTATGCGCTTTGTTTTACCTTGTAGTTGAATCTTCTTGGAGTGTCGCTTTTGTTGGATCCAGGCGTAGAGACGGCCGAGACGAGAACTGAAGGAGAAGAGGGCCCAGAGCTCTGAAGATGGGTGGATATAATTAGTTCATGGATTTTCTTTCACAGCATACATTTTCTTACGATTTTGCTGGATTTAAAAGTTTTTAAAGATTTGTTTTTGAGCAGCTTTAAAAACAATCGCGTGCATGCTTTTATGATTTTAGTTTCCAAATGTCCTGTTAAAACAATAAGGAACCCTTTGTTTGTATGAAGAAAGTTTTAAAACCTAAACTCTCAAAAAAACATTAATGAGGGACTGAGAGTAACAGATAATATGATTACATAAACATAATTACATTAAAAGATGTAATTTTGAGATATAATATATAATAGCATAATAATGCAATTGACATTATGAATAAGATTCGGAGATTAATCATTAAACCACACGACTAAACCTTAAATCATTTTGACTTTGTCTGCGTAACGGAAGGGGAACACGCAGCTGGATTTAATGATATCATGTTTGCTTATATTGGTGGCAAACAAAAGAAAATCATGCATGCAAACATGACTGGCAAAATCTTACAACGCACCAGTGCAGTAATTATTGTGGCGGGTCTACAGACCAAACGCACACAGGTCCGACTGCTCGTTTCATGAATATGCTGCAGACATGCATTAATATCTAGAGTGGCAGACCGATGAAAGCAGACATGTACAAAGAGAGGCATGCTTTTACCTGCGGTGGGCTAATAGGAGGTGGAGGTGCTTTTCTTTTTTTGGGAGTTGTGATCCGTTCGTCACTTAGTTTAGCTACTTGATCATGCTGAGGAGCCAGCAAAGAAAGGCAAAAGGAAAGAGAAAAGGAGGGATTCAGTGCCCGTTAGTAAAAAGAGGGTAAAATCAATGAGCTACAGCTTCGGTTTTCCCATAAGCGGAGGACTTTGATGAAATCAACAAAAGAAAAGCTGATACTAAACTTCATTCCATGAGATGTTTTATTATGAATCAGTAGTAGTACTTGTGGTACTAAAATCTAGACTACGTTAATTTATATAATACATTATATATTTATTCTGATGTTTTGCCTGATCCGTTACAAGCTCAAAAGAAAAGAAGTTATAATGAATTGTGTGTTACCTGAGGACTTCTAGGAGACTTTATATCTGTTAAAAAAGAAAACATAAAAGAAACAGCACAATCAAACACAAGTGATTGATTATAGCTTTTCTTTAGACGCTTTCATAGAGAGACGCTTACACCAAACATATAATGAATAATAAAAACGTTACTGAGATCTCTCCTCCAGAGGGCAGTGTTGGCTTTGGAACCAGAGCAGCGCCCAACAAAGGTGATTCATTCGTGTGCATCAAACAACTATTGACTAGACTGTGGTGGAGTAACGTTCTTGTCTGATCAGCTTTGTTCATCATTTCATATTCACATGTTAAGGCTGTTATCTGCTTTTGTTTTCCCCAACTTGATAGAATAACTTTTTTTTTTTTTAAATAAATTTGCACATTTAGCCTTGAACCTCCTCCACAGTGGTGTGAAAGAGCCGGAATTCAAAACCTTTCTGGGTGGAGTTCGCATCTTCTCTCTCGTGTGGGCAGAAATAAATTGTCCCAAAGATTTTAAAACGCATTGATATTCTCTTCTCTTCTCTCAATGCTCACACAGTGCGCGTGTGTGACTCTCACCAGAGGCCTGTTGTCTGTTGAGGGCGGCATTGAGGGCAGTTTTGACCCCAGAGTTGCCCTGCAGCTTGGCGTAGTGTCCGACATCGTGGCCTTGTGAATCTACCGCCGACAAGTCTGCTCCTCGCTGGACCAAGACCTCGACGACAGAAATGGCGTTTGACTCGCTGGCCAGCATCAAGGCTGTCCTGCAACAAAGAACAGGACACATCTATTACTGACGCAACATTTGAAGCAGTCACGCAAAATGTGTCTTTAAAGGGCTTGAAGAATTGGACATTTGGAGCATACCTCACAAAGGAAGAGATACTTTATTATCTGATCATGCAGTGATCTTTGAATATTAATACCCTTGAATGTTGAATTTAGCCCCTTTAATTAGTCAACACTATTGTTGCACATCATTCTTGGATTTTCTGTGTACCTGCCGCTGTTGTCACAAGTGTTGATCTCAGCGCCGCAGTCCAGCAGGGCGCAGCACACCTCAGCATGGGCCTGTTTGGCTGACAGCAGCAAAGGGGAGAGCCCGTCCTTTTGGAACAAACAAGACGTTGTACACAATCAGATATGACCGAAGTCGTCCTACCGAGCGAGCACAAACATACAGCACGCGTCTCTTGTGGAGGACAGGACGTGGGCCCGGGACGTGAGGAATGGTGTTTGGGGAGTGAGAAAAACCTCAGATCCGTGTGAAAATGGAGCGGATGTCTCACGAAGGAGTTTTCCCGGCAGATGAACAGACCGTCACAAGTTGTTCCACTTTGTGGAGCGGGGGTCGATTTTCGGGAAAGTCACGGACGTGATTCACAGTCCTGAATGAAGCGCTGACTCGCTGGAGTTTATTACACCGTGTTGAGAAACTAAAGCTGTATTTTATGCAACGCTGTCCCAGATTGGCCGACTCTTAACCTTTTAACCATCTATGACCTAAATCGAACCTAAACATTTGATTGGCTGGGCCTGTGCAGGGGACGGTGCGGCCTTGAAGGCGCTGCTGCATTAGAACTCAGTGTTTAACTGTACCGGGGAAAGATATCCGCGTCCAACTGGAAAAAAGCTAAAGGCCGTCCGTGTGTCAGCGTAGCTTTTTGTTTTATATTACAAGGCTGCTGCTTCGACACAGCACAGAACTATGTTGTGGGTTCCTGAGCTCCGCTAAAGACTTTAACAGCCTCCGCTCAGTCTCTGCTTCTACTTAACGGTTTCTTTTCTGAATCTAAAACACAGAAATGTGTTTTTCACCCGGGGAAATAGCTTTACGGTCTGTGTGGATGTACGCGAGAACACAGGTGTATAAATGTTGGCCTACACTTGAGTTATTACAACTTGAGGCCGTTTTGTCAGTTTAAAGCCAGAATACCAAATAAGGGCAACGAGGTAAAGGCTCGGTGGAGCTGACGTAGACGTAGAGCTGCAGCAACGGCAGCTACGTGTGACCATTTGAGAGGCCTGTCAATCAAAGAGACGGCACGTGGACATGTGGAAATGTCTTTCACTAACTTAAATATGTCATGTTCAAGCACAACATGGGCCTGACTGCTTTATAGAGGACTGTATTTCTTCACCACCTGACGTGACAGCGGTCGTTGTGCAGCTCTATCCTTCGCGTGCTGCAGAGGGATACAGGAAACGTGACCTTTCTAGCAACATTGTAAATGGAAGCTGTGTCTATTTGGGACTCGTCCTCGGGTTACTCACGTCAGTGAGCTGTGGACACGGCAGCTTTCATGTACTTCAATGACTACAGAGACCTGGAGAGATAATCTCATGTGTGGAAAAAAAGGCTGGAATATATATAATGATGCGTGACAGAATGATTTCTAGTTTTTTTTGCTGTCCTGTCTTTTGTTTTCCAAACGCTCCATTCGAACACCATAAATGTGTGTTTAATTGTTTGTGGAAAGTAATGAATAATTCAACAAACTTCTTCCTGGTATGTGGATGTTCACATAAAACCTAGTATATGCATCCATACGGTCATTGTCACATCAACAATGAAATCAACTCCCACTGAGCTCTACTTTTATTAAGTGGTTCTCTCTGAGCTACACGAAGATGTTGATTGGTGCTTCTTCAGTTAGTTTATATTTCTTTAACATGGACATCAGTATCGGCCTCAAACATCCACTATCGGAGGGACAATCTCAGCTACATAACTCACGTTCCCCTTTGACCTCCTCCAACCAAACTATTACCATGAATTGGGTAAAGGCCGACTTTTTTCTAAGTGATATAGAAATACATATTTCTATCCAACTGAAAACATAAGGAAGCACTTAGATTACGTCGTACAGAGTCTCCAAACCCAATTTAAAGTTTACATTTACTTGATTTACTCTCTAAACATTCTTGGTCCAACATATGCGGAACCTGGCAAATGTTGCTCTGTTGCTTTCCGTATCTTGCCTTGTTTATTTAAGTCTAAATGGATCAGGTAGAGACGTGTGCCCCGAAGCTGGTTGGCTTGTTCCACTCAGAACAGAAACGTCAATATGTTCCAGACGCCATTGTGGTTCCCCGCTTTTGTCCTCTAACAGCAAACAGAGCCGCTCGCATCTCGCACACATATTCGCAGATGTTTGTGGGCGGAGAAGTAAATAATGACATTTAGTCTCCCTGTAATCAGAAAACGGCACGATAGTGCTCTCTTTCAGCTACGGAACTTGGTATCTCGTCAGAATAAGAACATAAATATATGTTTGGATGACACTCAAACAACTCGTTGAGGGCTTTAAAGGACGAAAAACACATGAGGATTTTAATTAGTAATAAACATAACATCTTTTATTCGGCCAAGAAACCCCTCTGTGAGAGTCCATCTCCAAAAGGACTGCTGGAGCACGATAATAAAGGGAAATAAATGAGCAACCCATTCTCTCCTGTTTCTTTTCTTATTACATGCACAAAATATCACGCTCGCACACCACACGGGTTAAAACCACAGGCACGGGGCGTCACTGCAATGGAGACCACATGTCTGCGGCTCGGGAGCAGAGTTCCCACAGTACGCTGACCCCCCTACCTCGCACACACTCACACATAGATACATGCACACACACAACGCACACTAATCAATCATTAATCGGAGAAGGCCAAACGAGAGGTCAGATAATGAGGGTCCTTCATATGACAGATGTGCAGCTGTGTGGGACGGCTGGAGCGATTTCAAAACAATATTGTTTTACCTCCGCTCTCTCTGCGCACATTAATAAGCGCATAAAGGGACGCGTACCAAACTAAAGTTAGGTAGATAAGATATCCAATACGAATTGGAGCACTTCTGTGGTCGTTATCCGGTTTCAGAGCCTCTTTACTACTCTGCCAGGAAAATAAACTGAGAAAGAAAGAGAGAGGTGGTAATAATCTAAGAACATACGGCATCCTTTAGGTTGATGGGACTTTTGAGTTCACACAGCAGTTGGACGGTCTGGATGTTCCCGCTGGCAGCTGGAGATAAAAAGAAAAAACAGTCATGAAGAACCACTTTTTTTTTTTAACTTCACTTATTTATTTGGCGAGGCCAGGTTGGTAAATATATTTTATATAAAATACTGTTGTTAATTTATTTTAACCTTGTTTAAAACAATTTTCATGAGACAAATTCAATAAAAGAAGTTAATAACAAAGGTGGTTAGAGAAAGCAGTGCGGTCTAGTATCTAGATTAGAGAGTAATGCATCTCATCTGCTCCCTTCTCTTATTTCCAGAAGACAAACATGAAAAGGACATGACGCTCTTTAAAAAATGGAACAGACAAAAAGATAAATAAATACAATCATAATTAAAAAGCTGTGAAGGAACATCCTCATCCTGAGCTTCACAAAGAAATGATGACCGTAACACAGTGTTTGGTTTGAATTAAATTATGCACAAGTATTATGGGAACTTTTGGTTGCAAACTAATTGGGATGGAATCACATTTTTAACATCAGTTAATTCCAAATATGGGAGCAAATATCAGCCGAATATAATCAGAGCTTTCACTTAACCCCACAAGACATTTTCCCACGTCCTAAGCAGACTAATCTTGGATAAAAGCACTTTTGTTTGATTAACCCTCGGGGCACCGAGACGCTCACCGGCGTGATGCAGAGCGGCCTTCCCCGAGCCGTCTAAAGCATCGATGGGACATTTACTCTGGAGAGGAAAAAGAGAAATTATTAGACGCACAAAATCAATGTTACACATGAATTAAGAATGATTGTGAAAGAAGTTCCATCATTATGTGCCCTTAATATTTTTGTGTCAGTCTCAGACGTAAAATACATTTTAGACTTTCTGAAACAGGAAAAGGCAAAATGTCAGCAAAATGTCACAGGGCTGCATTTCATACTGAATTACTTTTTTGTTCTTTCTTCATTGTTGACCCGTAACAAGTTAAAGGATTAATACCGTTATTTATTCAAATTTGGTGCGACGTCATGTCTCATGAAGACCGTTTAGACACAATAAAGGCAGTCTGGGACTGCAAAAAAGTGTTGAGGTCAGCAGATTAGAGCAGGAATTTTTGTGTGTGTGAGAAATTGTCTCCTGCTGAGATCTGCTGATGTGCGCATGCCGCACACACAGATGGCCAAATAGTGAGACTATTCAGAGCGTTGGTTTCATATGGTTCGTGCTGCTACTTTTACACACTTTGGCCCTTTTGGCTACACAAAGGGACGCGTACTAGATGCTGATTTTTTTATATTACTTCTATTTCATTTCACAATCCTGTAAGACGATACTCTGGACCTGAAACACTGCAGACATTGTATCAATCAAAACAACACGTGCTGTGTGTGCACTGTGGGACCATGCAGTCTGTGAAATAGCACGGCTTGATAAGATTGCAGCAAATTGTCACGTTATTTTCAGGCAGTGTTGATCCTCCTTCACCTTACCTGAAGGAGCTTTTTGCAGCACTCCGTGTGATTGTTCTTGGCAGCCAGGTGTAACGGATTGAAACCTGAGCATAGTCGAAGACTTTATTAGAACACAACATCAAGGAAGCCATCTTATAACAGGCGTTTTATAAAATTATGTGGATTATTATACCTATTATTGAAAGACGCTGCATTTGTGCAGGAATCCGGATTCTGATCAAACCGCAGTACGTACCTGCAGCATCGGTGAGGGACAGGTCAGCTCCGTGGGCCAGGATGACGGACAGGCAGTCAGTCTGTCCTCGTGCAGCCGCCACGTGAAGACTGGACACAGACGAAGAAACACAAACTCCAGTCAGCTGAGATGTTTGTACGACGGCGTGTTAATATTTTTTGCTGGCTTTCAGAGTAACCTTAAATATCTGATGACATGGAGACGGCTCCTGTAGTAAAAACACTTTGTGCTTTTGTGTGCAGGAGGGAATCAATACGACCTCTTTCCAGTTCAGCGAGCAGAATGAAAAAAAAACAGTACACATGCCCATCTGTCCTTTGGTGTTTGTGTTTACTAGACACTCACTTTCATCCCGAACTACCACATTAATCGTGATTTACAGTCGCTGTCAGGACGCGTCTGTTTGCGTGTTTCTAAGTCTCACGCAAACACGCCAAGGTCAAGGATGTGATGGGACACCAAAACCTGTGCGTTTATTTCGGGGTGTGAAATATGCACGTTTTGTTTTTCCTTGCATTTGTGTTTTTGCGTTCCTGGCTCTGCGAGGGTCACTCAACACATCGAGGTCAGCGGGTGTTATCGACGATCTCAACTGGCGAGCAAACGAGTTTCACAGCCTGCGCAGGAATGAACTGGCTCTCAAAACACTGAATGCCAGAGAGGCTGAATTAATGTTTGAGGAGGTCACCCTTCCAGGACTTGCAAAAAACAGCTGTATTTTTAGAGGGGCCATTCATTTTTAACTGCGGCAGAGTAGTTACATAAGCTCAAGACTTTTGAGCATTGGCTGTAGCCATATGTACCAGTCCTCAAGACTGGTAATGTTTAACTTTGCACATTTTCATTTTATCGCAATCCCACTATTTCTTTTAAAACATGTGTGGTTAAAGCGTAAGCCAAGTCTCAGACTTACGCGTTAGATATTTCAGCATCCATTACAAACAGATTTCTGCTTTGCAGCTTCGTCAGCGTGGCAGATGTGAATCAAAGTGCCTCTGTTTTATTTAATTGAAGCAGGTTTCTACCACTCTTGCAGTCCGCGCCCAACTGGAGCCACTGCAGCCCATTGTCTCTCTGCTAGTTTCCTTTGATTACCATCTGTCTCAACATTTCCGTTATTCGGTTAGATGCAATAGTAATAAAAACTCACGCTGATTTGCCCTCGCTGTCCAGCTTCACGGCGCTGGCTCCCTTCTTGGCAAGAAGCGATGCCACCTTCTCCACCTCGCCGTGCTCCACCGCGGCAAGCAGCCGCTCGTCGTTTTTGCTCCACTCATTGACCTAAAAAGGTGACGATTTGGGGGAAAATGGACAGACGACAAAACCATCATCAAGACATATACCTTCCCAATAATGATCACTGCCAGTCATTAACCGTAGCACATTCGACTCTTAATGTGAGGGACGTTTCTCAGTGGGAGAGAACAAAAGAGAACCTTTGTCTCCATGAGTACACAGCACAGTAACACAAAGCATCCAGTATGGACACACACACACACACACACACACACAAAATGGCCTCAGATGTGTATCACTGACAGGCTGCTCAGATAGACAGATGTCGGCTAATCGAAAGCTTCAAGCTTTATCCTCACACACACAGAGGGAGAGTCAATACAAAACACTCGTATGGAGCCAAATACAACACACGAGCTCTGAGAGCTGTCCACATCTGGCAACAAAAAAACAACACATTAATGAATCACATTTTTATAATTTATAAATTTGTTTCCTTGAACCAATAAAGTAACTGGGCAGAACAAGTTCACTCGTCAGCTCTCGCTGCGGCCATCTGTGCACATTAGGAGGCAGCGCAGTATTAGAAGTGACCCGATGGCCTACTGACCCACGCGAGATCAGAGCGGTGAACTCCCTGACACCAGAAATACTGGATGGAGAACTGTACCCTATTTTCAAAGGGAGCAATATGCCGGCGTAGCGATACGTGGTGTAAATAGCCTCTGTGGCAAACACCCAAATGCAGTCACTGCAATACATTTTGCACAGCTGGTGGAAAGTTGCTGGGCTATAAAAAAAAATCCCTTCGGTCACTGAAACAGCTCAAATGACCACTGAGCTCTGCAGCCGCTGGGTGATTAATGAGTTAATTAAAAACAATAAATTGTTGGCAATTTCAAATGAAACAAGAAATGACAGATGTCTCGGTCACAGAATGACAGAGAAATATTCTTGTTTTCTTTGAAAAGGCCCTTACAAATGTGTGTGATCAAAGGCTGCACGCCACTAAAGCAGGAGGTGACGCTATTTAGGAGGTGCTGTAAGACGAGAGAGTTCTCCGACAGACTGGAAATAACAGATTGGATGTTGAGAGGCACATACCGGGTGTCTCTCCATGTCTGTGGTCAGCACACTTTAATAAGTATTTCCAAAAATATCCAATACCAGTTTAGAGTTGCAACAAAACAAATGCAGGATCTGGAAAAACTGACTAATTGCTGCATCACTCCACTCCAAGATCCTGGAGACACACATAGCAGCGACCCTTACTGGCGTCTTTGTCAGGAAGTGTCTGCTTACAGTATTTCATTTCTCTTATGTTTGATCTATTTGCCTTTGCTTTGTTAGAAAGCACCCTGGGGAGTTTTTGACCGCAAGCAGCGCTACGGAGCAATACGAGTGAGTGAAAGTTGTGCGTATCGCGCACACGCACGAGGATGCATGAAGCAGGCGTGATGCACGTGCATGCTGCGGTTTTTTTACGCTGTTCCACTGAAAGTGAGTGACAGTCGATGGCTGGTCATCCATCAATGGGGTTCATTACATTGGCAATGTCGCACTGATTTCCAGGATTCCTCGTTTTCACGCAGGTGAGCTGGACTTTTGCTTTGAAAGGTCTTGTGATTTTTGTTTTTGTGTCGTTCATGCATGGCGCTGAGGCAAGTAAATACTAACAATAAATACACTTAAGGAGATGGAGAGAGATACAAAATACACAACTGAAAGAAATATTAACATACAAATCACTGTATCTTTCTTTGTAACTTTAAAGAAATTGTGAAACTTTGCAGGGGTTGTTTGTTGATACATCCTCTTCTTATCATGTTTCGTGGACATCAGGAAGGGTGGAGCTCGCTGCTTTAATGGAGTGCCTTTACAATCCGGAAACGGCAGCCAAACAAACCCTCTCCTATACGTGACAGATTGAGTAACGGGAGCGGCCACATGCTGCAGATGGTGAGGCGGGACTGGACTCCCGCATAAATTTAACTTGTGGAGGCTGCACTTCATAACAAACGTGACCGCTGATTCTTTACATGGTATTTAGACTCGTTTGTATATTTGCATTCGAAACAGGAATTAGAACTTGAACTAGAACCCCATGTGTTACTTTTCCACTCATAGCAAATATGATCTTTAGTTGTTCAACCAAAGCGGCATAACATGTGTGCAATGGCTCAGTGTGTGTGTGTGTGTGTGTGTGTGTGTGTATTTATTTTGAATACAGGAGAATTCTGGGAAAATGTCTCGCAAAGGGAAGATGCAGGCTTTTAAATGCACTTCTAGCGGTGATTCTTGCATGAATGTAGGCCACCAACCCCTCATTTACAGAAAAAGCCCTGAGGGCACAGAGCAGAGTGGCCACGAAAGATGGGTCAACCACACAAACCTGTCAAACCTAAGAGGGCGGCAAGAGAAGCAGCCAGAATGCCAATTATTAAGTTGGAACGTGCGTCACAGGAAAACCAGAAAAAAAGAAAAAAAACGGTTGAGCTAATGCAGCCTTTTTTTACTCGGGTCCGGGGGTCTGTGCTGTATGTTCTCTACCAAGACCCACGCCGCTAACACTGCACAGCCACTTCTCCGTATGTGCACTTCAGTGAAGATTTGTTCACGCTGCGGTTGGTGGTCAGTCGCTTCGAATCAAGAAACCGTAACTCACCACGCCGCGTCTTCTAGCGAATACCTCATAGGCAAAAATGTGTATCATCTACTGGAAAGCGTCGAGCCTTTTATCTCGAAAAAAGGTCGTACGACACAAAACTTCAGCGCTGTGAGGTTTTTAAGAGCTCTCCGCGACGACATGGACCTCTGGAAGAAAAAGGGAGAAAAAAGGATCCCTGTGAAAGTATGCGGCTTCACAAAAGCGTTCGCCACAAAGAGTTACCTCATCTGAACCTGCGCTCAGCCACAGAGCCGAGTCAACACTCTGTCAAACAGAAATATGTGCGCTCCCGCTGGTACTGCTGTGCCATTAATTATTACACAACACTGCATATCAAGGTTTTCTGAGACACTTTAGATGTTTCACACACATTTTTTCGGGGTGTAAATATCGGTTTGCTTGCGGCTCGACAAACAGCAAACACATAATTCATCTTTAAACTACGGCAGTCAACATTAACGTGGCCTAGATTAATGCAACAAAATATTTTAACGTTAGTTTGTTCACTTCCGCTCCCGGAAGTTGACCAGTCAGTTACATCAAGATGGAGAGAGCTCCTTGGATTGGAAGTAAAACAAACAGCAAAGGCATTACTCCACGTGGCAGACGGACCAATTAAAGCACCGCTATGCTAAGCTAGCTGCTATGCTGAATGTTCCCATGTCATTAACAAGGACTGCATGGAGGGACGGTGGAGGGACCCCTAGCAAGCAGCACTAATAGAAAGAATGTATCACAGGATCCGGCCTAGCGGCTAACAGGAAAATGAAGGGCCGTCACAGCAGAGCAGCATGACGCCGATAGCGTTGGACTGCGGGACATTGTAACGGACAGGTGCAAGTGGAGCGGAATGCATTGCTCCAGTTCGGGCCTACGCACACACACACGCACACGCACACACACACACACACGCACACACACACAACCACAACCCTGTCATCACGACGAGGCTGATGAAATAATCATGTGCTGGTCGAGGTGCAGTGAAACCACCACGGGCCTCGGCTCCGACAAGTGATTTGAAATAAGTGTCTTGACCAAAAAAGGGAACGATGCAGGAACTGTCTGTCCTTGGAGATTATTCATGTCCTTAAGTTTTCTTCAACAATTTTTAACAATCCATCAATCATTCATAGAAAACGAACACAAACGCAACGGTTCCAGCTTCTCAGTTGTGATCTCAGTTTTCTTTGTCCTATTTAATTGTTAATGGAATTTCTGAAGCTTTGGGAGTTATCATCACATCAAATCATTCTATTTGTTCTTAAAAACAATGGCTGGTGATGCCAGACACTGGACCAACACCACACACGTCATCTGCTTGTGTTGACTGCCGTTGGCTTAGCCTACATCGGCCCGCACTGAACAGCATGGGTTTAGCCCACATTGGTTTGCACCATCAGTGGGTCACGGGTCACTAATCTTGTGATTATAAACCAGTAAGACCACAGTTGTTCTGTGTACCACCAGGAAGGGAAGAGGACCTCACTTCCTCCCTCGCTTTCAGTTCTGTATCCCAACTCCCCCGCTGCCTCCCCCCCCGGTCTTGCCTCGGTCTTCTTCGGCCTCTCTTTCCGTTTCTTGTGCTGTGATAAGCGTGTTTACAGTGGGATCAGGGTGCGGACGGTAGTGTGATGCATTTCTCTGTGTCTCACTGTCAGACTAAAGACTCAGTCGACATCATAAAGTGTTTCCTGTTTGTCCAGGAAGGCGGCTGGCTGCAGGGGACGGGGAGCAAGGGAGCTGAAGGGGTGAGGGGGGGGGGGAGAAAGGAAAGCAAATTGATGGATTGTTAAGAGATGCGCTGAGAGGCAAAAAGAAACAAGCAGTTGACTCGTATAAGTCGTCGTTAGTGCGAATGAGTCATTGTGGCCCCTCACGTGTCACACACATGTTCATTTCTCTCTTTTTGAGGTCTTAAAAGAGCGGGGAAAAAAGACGAAATCACAACTTCAAACGTCCAGTTTTAGAATTAATTGCAAAGACAACAGATATCCATCAAGTGTGTGTTTGTTGACCTAATGGCTTTTGCCTAAACATGCTCACGGTGTTTTTTCTGCTACTCTGAAGGAAAAACAAACTAAGATTGGAAAACAGAGATCCCATTCTGTGTGTTTGTGCAGTTCCGCCAGTAAGAGAAGCTTGGACTTTAACGAAAAAACGTTTACTTTTGTAAACCTTTAGTATTTCCTTCCTAAAACAGACAAAAGAACATGTTTATAGATCGACAGATAAAAGGCGTTTGTTGCTCTTTGATTTTCGGGGGAAGTCCTTTTGGCCTTCACTAAACGGATGATACAGCTGCCCCACATCCACATGTGTTAGTTATGTCAAAAAGGCACAAAAAGCTTGTTATTATTAATATTATTATTATTAT